ACTTGTTTAGAAATGGATAATAACATAAGTAATTCAGAGATCACGTCCATCTGTTCTCACAGAAAGAAAACCATTGAACTAAAAACTTGTTTTCTTATGTCCTGTGTATTATATCATTTTATCATACTTTGTCAAAATTTGAAAAATACCGATCACTGTAAAATTAGAAAAGACCTGTATGCTTCACAAAACTTGAATTAATGAAGGTAATAATGATTATAATGAGACCACAACTGAGAAGCAAAACACGTATAAAACACCTAAGTGACATATGCGTGAAACCTGCTTAAATCTTTAATACGGCCTTGAGGGAGAAGCACCTCACTGCAGGATGCTCTGTGTCCTGTCGGATTGCTTAGAAACACTCCCACCTAGTGGTCCAGTGTTTTAATTACAACTTTTATTTAAAAAGGTACAATCATGAGGTGCTTCCACTGTTTAATTTCATCACATGCATGTTTCGGTATTTTAAAATTCACTTAAAAGCATAGTTAATCCTCACACTCTACATAAGAATTTGTTCTTTTAAAATATAAAAGGAATTGCAAACATACATTAGAAATGTTTTGATCACCATAATCGTTCTAATATGTATTGAATTATATATATGTAATCAATTATAAAATATATAATTGTACAATGTGTATAATATATATTCTGTTGCAGTTGACTTCTTTGTATGCAACTTGCTGAAGTTTACCTCCCAAAATGTGTACTTATTCTTATAACTGGAATTACTGAATTCATTACTAAGTCACATAGCTGTTTTACAAAACATTACAAACAACTACCTTTCCCAAATCAGAAGAGAGGATTTGTGGTCAGTTTTGAAAAAGCATTTTTCTTCTGTGATCAGGCCTGCTGTGAGCAGTTTTGTATTTTTGTTGTGGTTACTGTATATACATATTTCTGATGGACATACAGCATTATATCGGTTTCAGAAGTACAAATAATCATTCAGTATTTTATATACATAGTCAGATGATCACCCCGATAAATGTAGTATATTCTAAGTATATAAGTATTTAAAAATGTAAAACGTGGGTCAGTCGGTTCGCGACGCAGACTGATGGGTTTCTGTCCTGTTGCTTCGCCACCATTTCCCACGTGTCTGTCCCCAAACCTTCACTTGTGATCTATCCTGGGTGTCAGCGCAGTGACAGAGACGGCGTGGCGGCCTCAGGGACAGCATCCCTGCCCTCGGGGACAGGCGCAGGGAGGAGGAGAGGCCGCGGGAACACGCAGCGAGGCCGGGGAGGCCGCTGCCGGGACATGGGCGCCCGCTGTGCGCCCCGCATCAGCGCTGACCATCACAGGTGGCCTCTGCATGCGTAAGTCACAGGCTGGTGACACGGGGTTTGGGACAATGTCCAAGACGAAAAAAGGGCAGTGGCGAACGTCCTGGGGGAGCGAGGCCCAGCACGTGGGGACGGACACGCGGGACACGCGGGACACGCGGGACACATGCCTGGAGGAGGGACGGATGTGGGGGACACGCGGGGGCACGGTGGGTGCTCGCGATGCCCCGAGGGGTTCGAGGGGCCTGAACGCAGCCGGCCACGTGTTCCACGGAGCCCGTCGCCCGGTTTTGTGGCCTGAGAAGCGTGATCGTGGGGACCGGGGGCACTCGGAGGCACTGGCCGGCGGGGACAGGTCTCCGCTGTCCTCGGGCTTGGGGCGGACAGCGGGCGACGAGGGTGAGTGGTGGGAAGGGGGGTGTCCGGGTTCTGGGAAAGGCGGGCGCAGCGGGGCCCAGGCAGCAGGCGAGGCCCGTCTGCGTGGGGACCCGCGCTTTGTCACGCGTGCGTTTCCGAGTCCCCGCGCTGGCACCGTCGTTCTGTCTAACAAACCAACGTGCGTCAGACGCCGGGCCCTGCGCTGGGCGGTGGCGTTTCCAGTGACCGCCCTTAGTGGACTTCCAGACTCCTCCGGGGGAGGGTCCGTGATCCAACCGCCATGCGGAAAACGTGCAAAAGTGACCACTGCGAAAGTGACACGTGTCCCAACGCCGTGCCCCAGGCGGAGTGATGTCCCCGGGTGTCCCGATGCTGTGCCCCAGGTGGAGTGCCCTCAACAAAGCGACATGGCCCTGTGTGCCCGCTGGGGAGGTTTCCCTAAAGCAATGACATTTAACTTGAGAGCAGGTCGCCGATCCCGTGAAGCAGAAATCTGAGGACCTCATACAGGAAGGAATTTGCCACGTTCTTGGAGCCTGTGTGGGCAGCAGCCTGAGCCGGACGCCCGTCATGGCCCTCAGCGGTGAGCACACAGTGAGCGTTTTCCAGGGTTTTCCAGGGAGTGGGTGGCAGGCAGGGAGGGGCAGGGAGAAGGCGAGCCAGCGGGAGTGTCCCACTGAGGTCCGCTGCTAACTGCACATGACTGGTGACTGCTCCGATCCAGGGGCCATCGTGGGTAAGGGACAGAGGAGGGGGCTTGGAGAAGAGGGGTCTGATCTGCCCACCCCGCCCCCTCTCCCGTACGGGGCATGCGGGGCTCCCGGGCGGGGCTCGTGCCTCTGTGGCACGGTGCCCAGGAGAAGCCCAGCGATCTGCCTCGGGGACACTGCCCCTTACTGCCGCCCGTGCCGGCCAGCCCGGGTCCTCGCAGGGCTGTTCGATTGCAGTGGCCGGTGCCAGACAGGAGAGCCCGGAGAACCGGCAGCGCTGGACACCACGTGCCACAGGGATGGAGCCAGGACAGGAGGAATGGTGAGAGCTGTCGGGGTCCGGCCACGCAGGACGCTGGAGGCCAGCCGAAGATTTGTGTCATTATCCTAAGAGGGAGCTCAGAGCAGGGGAGAAGCACGACGGGTCTGCACGTAAGTATCACCCTCCCCGGACAGTGGGGCCAGACCGAAGGGGCCAGAGAAGGACCCGCTGGCCCGGAAGTGGTCCAGCCAGTGGTCACACTGCAGGTGGACCCAGGGGACACACAGGCCACACTGTCCACAGAGTCAGTGATGGAGGAGCATGGCGGAGGAGGGAGCAGCCTCGCTATGGAGGACGGTGCTTGGGGACAGCACGGGGACCTGGGTGGAGACCGTGAGAAAGTCGCCGCCTGTGCAGGCGGGGGGCGGGGTGTCGGCCAGGCTTGCAGGGGGAAGTGTGCACTCACTTTAGAAACACCGCGTTTGACAGATCCTTCGGGCGTCAAAGAGGTGCCAAGTGGGAAGTCACTCGTACAAGCCTCAGCTCTAAGCAGAGCCCTGGGCTAAAACCCCCTGGAAGTCATCTGTCTGTCTGCCCGTGACCATCCGAGCCTCAGACAGATCAGACACGTAAGGGAGGGGACAGAGCGGGAGACCCAGGCCGGTCTGCAGCGAGCGGCAGGGTCCAGCGAGGTGGACGCGGCAGGAATGGACCCGTGAGGTTCGATTACTGCTTTTTAGGCTGTATCTAGTCAACCGCGGACAGACGCACAGGACCGACTGTTTCCCCCTAGTGTGTGTTGTGCCCACATCGCTGAAAACCAAGACGTTTCTACACACGGTCGGTGAGTCAGCTTTAAACACACACTCTCCTATTTGGCACCTCTAGGAGCCTGTGAGAGAGCGGGGTGACAATGTACCAGCGTGAAGTGAGTGTGCGCACCCCGGGGCGCACGGCTCTGCCCTGACGCCTCTCAGGCCATGCGGGTCCACTCGCCGAGTCACGTGACGACCCTGTGCCTTCATTCTACACATAGACGGTCGTTTTAGAGGCTAAATGTGATAACGGATGTGAAGTGCTTAGTACGCATCCAACGTGTTTAAAAATCGCAATTTTCCATCGACTATCTGCTGGGCCGGACTGGGTGTCTCGACTTCCCACCAGCCTTATTTGAAAGCATAGCGTATTGGACGTTTTCTTGAAAAGTGACATTTCTGCATTGTTTTAAAAACAACCAGGTGAATATACATCCACCTTATTTCACACGAATCATAAGTATAGAAATTACTGGCGTATGATATTCTGTAGATGTTGATAATAACGAATCTACTGTAAACAGTCATTCAAATCAAAATTGTTTTTACCTCATTCACACTTTATTAATTTATAATTCATTATAGATATTCCAGAATCAGAGGCGATAGAAGGTAAGGTTGATATGGAAATTCTGATTCCTCTCATCTGGGTAGAAAAGAATACAAACATTTTCAGAGTACGTGAAGTCAAACTTTTATTTGGAGAGTTGAATTTCATGTACAATAAAATATTTTTAAGCCATACATATTCATAAGCATAAAACGAACACCACCTACAGCACTAACACGTTTTAATAAAATTCTACTATGAATATTAATCTAAGCCAAAAAAGGAGTAATCAAGTAAACCAGCTTTACATATCTTTTATCTCTTTTGATGATGCAGTTAAACAATTTAAGACACAAAACTAAGCTTTGGCTCATCACTACTTCCTCCGCCAGGGGGCGCCAGGGTGCACGCTGCCGCGTCCCAAACCCGCCCCTTCACACTGGAGTCAAAGTTGCTACAAGAATCATCTCTCAATGGCATGTAAACACATTTAGGGTTCCAATTGGCAATTATGTTTTCAATGCTTAGCAAAACGCACCAATATTTCTCATTAAACATTACTGGTCTCTGTTTAGCTCGTCTCTTCCATGAATATAAAATAGGGAAAAAAAATATTATTTGAGATTTCCAGCATCATTTCATTGTGCTTTACATTTTTAGAAACATGGACACATCTAAAATATCAGACGCCTTTACGCCAATAGAATAAATCCACCAAAGCCACGTTTTCTCGGACACATGCAAAAGCAGCGAAGAACACTTTTGTACAGCAAAGACCCTGCTTAATTCTCTTCTGATGACTAATTACCGATGGCACGTGCAAATCATACCACTCGTTGAACAGGAGATCAATTTCGTTTCCTGTAGATTTGTTTTTCTATAAAAATATATTTATGTGCTCACAGGAAAAAATTGCGTTGGCTGCACGGGCGGGGTGACTTTCCGATTCGTTAGATCGTAGGTTCGTTTGTGAAGTTAAAAGGCATCTTAGCTTTCATCATTTTCAAATTTTTCTTCATACAGAAGAACACCCTGTGACAAAGATAAGGTCCGTGGGATCATCGTCAGCACGTCAGCGTCGAGACCGTCTGCAGCCACGGGGTCGAGCATCTTGCCCACGGGCTTGTGCATGAAGTCGGTGCTGGTGCCAGGGGAGAACTGGGGGTTCGCTAGCCCCGGGCAGCGCTCTGGGGAGCCATCCCACCATCAGGCCTGGAGCGTGGCAAACGGTGACGGCAGACCGGAGAGGTCAGTCCCGGCCCGGCTCCTGTGCTGAAGGTCCGCGGCAGGAGCCGAATGAGAAGCGGTAACATGGACGGCAGAGGCAGCCACGACGCAGCGTGGCTTCCGTGCCCGTCAGCTCTGGCCACTCGGAAAGCGGGGGCGGGGACGTCCTTTCACCCTGAGGGCGAGCAGGGACCTCCACCAGGAGACGCAAAGATGTTTGTGTCTAACTTAAAGATCATTCGATCTATAATACATCTGCTCCTAATGATTTTCAGAGATTATTGCCAACTCACGCGCTTCTCTTAAGACCGTTCTGGCCGATGACAAACAGGAGGGACTAGCACGATGGCAGCGCTGCCCTCGGAGCCCGACCTTGGCCGCGCCAGGCGCCGGGGAGCTGACGTTCCTGCCGGCTCATCAGAACGCGACTCTGCCCTCTGGAGAAGCGGCTCCCCCGAGACCGGACGGGGGTGAAGCTCCAGGTGCGCCTCCGGGGGTGCGGGTCCCCACACTCACGCAGGGTGACGTCCCCGCTGGTTCTTACTTCGGGAGCGTGGTCCATCCTGACCCACGAGGCACCACTGAAATGACATTCTTCTGCTGCCTACGCATGTTGGGTGACACACACAAGGTTTAAAGTGACCCCACGTGGATCACTGCGCTGACCATCACAAACATCACTACATTTGGGTCCGCAAGAAATACAGCGGCTATGGAAATCAAAGTCAAGGATGTAACAAGAGACGCCCCTAGCTATAGGTCAGAGAAAAAAGGAAACCTGTGAGCTAATTTCACTTAAACATCGTTAAGAATTTTACGGCGAGATTAAAAAACGTTTCCGTGACATCAGAAGTTCAACACTGACGTTTACTGACATGCCTGCGCAAACCTTCCTACCGCTACGAAACCAGTTCCACGTACGATCTTGAAAGGACTAGCCGTCTACTTTGCAGGAAATAAATTTCCTGAATTTGTACTGACTTCAACAGAAAGAAAACAGAAAAACGTCCCACCACGTGTAACGTGTGATGCAGGCGAACACGCCCAGAGCAGGAGCACACTCAACGAAACTTCCGAAACGCAGGAAAACATTTCCCTCAGTATTTCTACGATATTTTATTTTGAAACTGTTGGGAAAAGCAATGTAGGGACACAGTCCAAACGCTCGATACAGTGTCCTGCGTCACGGACCCTGCGCTGTTGGGCGTGGCGCTGGGACCACGGGCAACGGCTTCTGGCCCCCGACGCAGGCCGTGTAGACCACCCGTCAGCGCGCTCCTTCACCGGAGAACACGACGCGTCGACGCTTTGAAGTGTGTGAATATTAGCATCTTATGTACAACGCATTCGGAAGGCGTACGCACACCTACCGCTGGATTAACACAGGACAAAGGTAAAAGCGGCCAGTTTAGAAGTGGAGATAAAATAACAAAGTACAACAGAATGACGCTCGGGCCTCACCGAGAGCTCGCGCTGTTCTGTCATGAATGACCTCCGACCCCCGCGCCCCCCGCAGCCGAATTCAGTCCGGGAAAACAACGAAGACGTTGGCCGATGTCAAAACCGACAGAAATCAACGATTCACACTGGATCCGGACAAGTTAGGATCCTGTTTGGACACGACCGTCTCCGGGCAAATTGTTAGAGCTCAGTAAACACCAGTTGGCTGATCAGGTAAGACTCCCACACCTGCGGATCAATACGTCTGGACTGTGCCCCAGGAGCAGCTTTCAGGAGGTGCCCGTGTCCCTGTTTATGCGTCGAGAGCCGCGTGGTGGCCGTCCTTCTGCCTGCGGGAAGCAGAGTCGCCCAGGCGGATCCGGGGACCGAGCACAGGTGTGCACGCAGGGCTGCGAGGTGGCCGTGCCCAACCACGTGGCGACCGGTCACACCAGCAGCCATGAGACACAGCAGCGCGGGCCTGGAGCTCGGCCGCGGGAGCTCGAGACACGGGATCTGAGCCGCGCCCCACACGTCAGCTCCTGCCAAGGCGCCGAGCCCCGAGCACAGGCCCGCGGGGCCAGGCGCCTAGCGTTCCTGGGGTGGCGCTGTGTCCCCCAGCGCGGTGGCAGCGAAGGGGGCGCCTGGGTGGCCACGGGCCTGGGGAC